ACAGGAACTCACTCTCTTGAGGCTGAGGATTTCATAGAGGTAAGCTAGTGGCTGGCTGTTTTGCTTCTCTGACATTTCAGCGTTCACCCCAATATCTGGCTCCGGGTTGTCTATTAATAAGACTGTTCAGCAATTTGTGTTACACTATACTTATTTATGTGTCACCATCCAACAAAGTATGCCCTACCTTAGTTTACTATAAAGTCATGGAACCTGTCATCACAGCACTTGGGAGGGACAGGGAGGAAGACCAGGTGTTCCAGGGCATCCTCAGCTCCATTAGACTTTGAAACCACATTGGTCTACAAGAGACCCCATTCCACACAAAAATAGTAACAAAGGCATTTTAAGAAAGAATTTTAAAGCATTACAATACAGTGCTTCACAAAGCCCTGCCTCACACAACAGCTACCTCCCTCCACCGTCCACCTACCTACCAGATCCTGAATCATCCCTGGCTCCTCCTTACCTTTTATCTGTCCCTACCCTCCCCCCAATACCACCCCCAGCTACCCGCTCAGTTACCATGTTCTGTCCGTCTTAAAGCAGGGATGGAAAGGACAAATGAACAAAGAAGACCTACATGAGATACGTGGACCAGTGGGGAAACGGTAAACTGGAGAGCGAGTGCTCTATTATTCATTCATGCTTTCTGGAGGTTTTTCCATTTTGTTGTCGGAGACTCTGCCTCACAGTGCCCAGGATGGCCTGAAACTTGCTGTATAGCTGAAACTGCCCTTGATATTCTGTCACCTCCTCAGAGATGCCAGGCTCATAGAAGCACGTGCCTCCTCACCCAGCCATATTTCGCCCCCTACCCCGTTTTCAGATAGAGTCTCTCTGTGTATCCTTGGTTGGCCTCTAACTCACGGGGACCCACCTGCCTCTGCCTCTCTGGTCCAATCATGCCCAGCCATATACCTTTTTAAAAGAAGTTAGGCACGGGGCCTGAACCAAAAGAGGAAGTTCAAGGACAGTGTTGCCCAAGATTCTGATTTTTCAAGAGCATCTGGAAATCTGAACTTTTATGGGAAAGAATGATTTTTTAAAACAAAGTAAGGGCCAAATTAAATGTATCTGCTGGATAAATTCAGTATGGGCTTACCGGTTGTGACCTCTTTTTAGACTCTCCCTGCCCTTGCTAGGTGTGGTAGCTCATGCCCGCGATCCTAGTCCTGGGCAGGCTGAGGCAGGGAGATCAGCAGTTGGAGGTTCGCTGGGCTACAGATCAAGACTGTCGAGGAGGAAAAAAAGGGAAGGAAGGAAGGCGGGTCTCTGCTCTCTTGGGGGACATGGTGACGCAGACCTGTCACCTCAGGACTCTGGATACTGAGGCAAGAGATCGGGAGCTTAAGGCACACTGGGACACTGACACACACAGATAATCTCTAGTCCCTCTTTCCGGTCCCCATTGCCGTAATAGTCAGGCCTTCAACATTTCTTAGGTGGGGATGTATTTATTTATCGGCATCAGAATCACCCCCACACCAAGTGATTCTGATACCCAATAAATGTGGGCCACAGACACCAACCCACCGAACAAAATCACTCCCGCTCTGCCAGGAGCCTGCCTTCCTCGCCAGTTTCACCGGCCACGTCACCATTAGACTCAAACACACATTTTGTGGTTCTCAGAAAATCTCTCAAGCCCATCTCTCAACGCATGGCTCTCATCCGACAGGCTGCCTTTTCCCTTCCGCATTCTCTCTACTCAGTTTTCATCTTTCTGGACCGGCCTTGCCCTAACCTCCATCACCTCTGAAGTCTTCCTCGGGTCTAACATCCACTCTCATCCCTACCGGTGTGTGGTGTCTCCCATCCTTTTCCACGGCACCCGGAACTTACGACCTGAACTCGCTGTTTATAAAGGCTTGTTTACCCCGTCCCTAGGCCGCCCAACTGGGCTCTTTGAAGTCAGGAATTTCAACTTAGCTTAATTTTGCAACCCCAGTGCTGTGCCTGATAAGCAGATCTCCCATAAATGCTTGCCAAATAAATAAAATTACACTGTATGGCCCACTGTAAGACCAAAGGCCAGTTTGGATTCTGGTTCTCTGGCTTTGCTATCAAGATGCAAATGCCGTTTCTCTTTCCAACTTCTTAATTGTAATAGTAACAAATTCACAGTAACTACAGTCCCTGTACCAGGCAGTTGTCATTAGCCACCTAAATTAACTACCAACAGCAGAAACCAATTCCTGCAATTCTCCTCTGGAAACTAAACAAGGTACTTAGCTCGTTTCCCCTCTAAAGCAAAAGGATACAATGTGACACCAGGCGCAGCACTATAAATTAAAACTGCGCCTTCCCTAGGTCTGACTAAGCAAATCACAACAGTTTAACCCATGGAAGTACAGATCCCTGGACAGTGAGTATCTGTTTAGTAGGAGCAAGGAAAGGGGAAAAACAGTGAGTAGAGGAAAGGAATGATAAACCTCACGAAGGTGGACTACTTCAACACAACTGTCTGAGGTCGCTATGAAGCAAGGGAGCAGAACAACAGCACTTCTAAATTGGCACCCTCATATTCAAAGCGAAAATTCAAAAGAAGCCTTCCGGGACCCACGTGTACCGCTCCTTTTTACCATATTTAAAATATCTACTATTCTTTCCATTTCCATTCCTTCAGTATTTACTGGGCATCTCTTTGGCTCAGGATGCTGTGGAGACACCGATCATGTTGAACCTGACAGCTATGAGCTCTGCCTACCTAGAGCTCCCGTCCTAACACAGAGGGCAGACAGTCAACTCATTCTCCAACTAAGTACCGAGCAGGGCTGTGTTCAACACTCCACCAGGGGACACAAGTGTTACGAGAGCACATAAAACAGAATCCACGCCAGGCTTTCTTCTGTACTCACAACCATCCCTTTCTTACTACAGAAACCTAACTACCGCTCTGTGAACACCCCCTCTCGGCGGCCACGCTGTGCACACGCCAGGTTTCCACAAGTCGCTCTCAGATGTACCTCCGGGGACGACAAAGACATTAAATTGGTTCAAAAGTAATTTTTTCCACCAGCTGTTCAGGGAGTATCATTTTTTTTTTCCCTCTGTATCTTTTTGCTGTATTATAAAAGGTCACACTGGAGAATAAAAACCTCTTTAAGTGTGTTGACTGCACATTTGGGGGTGGTGTTTCAATTCATGAAGCCATAAAGCACGTGCTCTCTGAAGACCACACAATGAGAAAGAAAAGATCTCTGTGTATTAATTCACAAGCCGACAAAACTGACCACACAGATTCCTTTTCTTCGGACACCTCTGATTCTTTCTTTAGATAGGACTGTGGTATAGTATTGAGCAAAGAACCTTCTTCTACTACAAGAATGTTAAAGTAATAAATTTGTATTTGACTTTGGATGTGTTCCGTCCACCCCCCAAAAAAAGCCTCATTGTAATTAAAATAACATAAACAAGCTATTTTAGTGAGTTAACACTGGGGCACTAGCTAAACTGACCTTTGTTTTCCAGGATGATAGGAAACCTGCCCTCAGACACAGGAACTGAATCAGATAAGGGCGGAGGGGATCCCCACAGAAAACCACACTGAAATGTCTGATAAAAAGTAGGACTTTTCCTGACTAGCGGAAAACATAAACCTAGAAAAGGCTGTAAGGAAAACAAGGTTCACTAAATACAACTGCTCTTTTATAAAAACTTGCTCTAAATGTCAGGCTCTAGGAAAAAGAAAATATTTTAACTGTCAATCTTTACAGAATGCAGCACATATTTTAAAGGGGAGGCGGGGAGGTTGAGGACACAACAAGAGGTATTAATAGCCGAACACAAGCTGAAAGGCCCTGATCCACGTTAGGCTCTGGGACTTCTTCCCAGTTACAGTGTTAAGACAAGTCACCACCTCAATTCAGAACGGTACGGTCCAATGCTGCTTCAAAGAGGGATATCCTAGGGCCTTCTAGAGCCCCTCGGAGTTTTTTTTATATTCTAGTTAAACAAAATTAAGACACCCTCCCCCAGATATTCATTCATTGCACCAATGTTTGCTGGATGCCAACTGTGCAGTGTAGTAGCACTGTGCTTTGACCATGCCTCATCATTCGGACATTCTATTCTATTCGACAGGCACATTAATTTCATAAAGGAACAGACTGCTCTCAGGAAAGGCTTAGCAAAGATGAAACACCAAAGGCCCATTATTTCAGGCTAAGACGACTAGATGGCCAGTAGTTCCCTGGTGGGAGTACTAAATCTGGGTGAAAACCATCATTTCCTGGGGGCGGGGGATCATTACGTGCCAGGCTCTTTCCAACCCTTTACAATCCACTAAGCATGACAGAAACTCACACTTGGGCTAAGAACCTAATAGTGGGGTTTTCAACGACTCGCCCAAAGCCAAACAGAAACTTGACTTTGGCATCGGGTTTCTATGTGCTCGAAAGCCGGCGCGCTCTTTGCACTACACACAGTTCCTTCTAGCGCACAATGTGTCTCAATCAGCAGCGCCAGCGCCACGAGCCACAGGGGAAGCCTCTTTCCAGAGGCAGGGTGGAGCGCATCTGCACGAAGGCCTGGAGAAGTCACTTCCCCTCCCCGAGCATCCCCCAGAGGACCATCCCGACCTCCCGAAGTTGTAAGCACTGACAGGCAGATGGGAAGTTCATTCAAACGAAGACCACGAGAAGGGCACAAGGAGGGAACAGACAAGACACCCTCTCTGGAAGAGGCTGGGAAAGCACAGCAGTGACAAGTAATAGGGAAAAGGGGAGAAAGGAATTCTCTCGTTCTCTTCGGGTGCCCTAAGGAAAAGGCATTCTCCCGCGGGGTGCGGAGACCGGGCGGCGGGCCTAGGAGGATCCCACGCTCCCCGACCGCGAGCCCCCCCTAGGATCCCCGCAACAACGCCCGCCGGGCGCGCCACGCGGCAGGCACAAGGTGACACGGACCGCGCCGGCCCCTCAGCCGCCAGGGCGCGGCCAGGG